GAGCACAAAGCTCCATTTCGCAAACAGTTGAGTGCACAAGCCTTTAAAGTATACTCCTTTGCCAGTCTGTGAGAGACGCATTCAGAGTCAGCACATGGTCACTGTCTAGTGGGCTTTATTTTCAAGTGCGCAACTCACGGCATTCGCTGTTCTTCTGCTGGCGGCCGGTTATCAAACAGCATTGCATTGCATTGGTGAATTGCCTGTATTCGTTGTAAGGCCTCATGCACTGAACCGAGATGTCCGTACCGTGACCGTTTGGTATGAATACATGTATCGTTCCACCCCTAGAAGCTAGTGAGATAAAACTATTTGTATATATTTTTGTAGATAGCTAGATGTTAAACAGTTAAATAGCTAGATGGATGAACAGTTTAATGGATAGTAATTCTACCCAGATGCAAATAAACCTTTTAGATTGTTAACTATTAGATAGCTATCTAGGTAGAAACTTTATTATTATAGCTAATTAGCTAGATTAAAAATGGATGTATTTGGTAAGTAGCTAGCTAGATAACTACCAACGTGCAAAATACACCTTTATTAGAGAGCTAGATGTTAGCTATCTAAAAAGTATCTAACTTTTTTTTTTTAAAGAATCTTCTATCTAAGGGTAAAACGGAAAAATTATTTATTAGATAGCTAACTAGCTATATGAATAAATAGTTTACGAAACAGCAAACAAGTTAATGGGACACAAAGACACTTATGTAACTATTTGGATAAACACATTATTCTATAGCTGTGAGTATGACAACAGACTGGAATAGCACAGTATCGTATAAGTTCAGTAACTCAGTCACCTCATACTCTGCAAAGCGGGCCGTTTCTGACAGGATCATCTCATCTTTCTTCAGCGGGCTATCACGGGTGGCCAGTGCCAGGCAGCGCAGGGTATCACGGCCAGTGCCGTACTCTCTGATCACAGACATGATCTTATCCTTGATGCCTTGAGTCAGGGGAACCCTGGATCCACCTACTCGCACATATGTGCACCTCTCAATCACTCCCTCTGGAGCTCCCTGTAGAAGACAGCCCAAATTATCAATCTGAAAAACTTGCCAATACAACAACTCCGTAAACAACAAAAAAAAGTATCCGGTTAGCACCTTGACAAACATCTTAGCAGAAGAGGATTTGGCCTTGTTGGGGGAACAGTACACAGACATGGACTTCCTGTCTCTGGAGAACTCCAGGGTGAACTCCTTCTTCATCAGTTGTTTGATCACCTACATATACAGACATATTGAGTTATTAAATCATGTTTAAACAAGTGCTTGCATAATTCTTTATTAATTGTATAAATATTTACTGAGTTGCAGGCGTTGGCTCTCTCGATCTTAGACAGGCTCCTGACGTCAGTGTCAAAAACGTTCATCTTTTCCACCAGGCAGGTCAGAGCCGTCTCCGTGGCCTCTCCAACCTTCTCAAAAACACCTTTAGACTGAAAGAGAGTTGGCATTTATCATTTAGGTGCATCCTCCATGCGTGGAACTGAACTTCTGCTAAAGCTTTTCATCGTGACCGTTCTACTGCCAGCAAACATGGTTAGAGATGCAATCAAATTAAGATCATTATCCCAAGAATGATTAAGTAATATCTTCATATTAAACTACATTAAAACATGACACTGGCCAGAGACATTCACGATGACGACATCTCACACTAGTGTCCAAAATTTAAAAAAAAAAAAAAAAATTATTTCATCTTTTATTTTTATTATTTTTTAAGAAATTAAATACTTTTTATGTAGCATAGATGCATTAAATTGAGCAAAAGTATGAATAGTCACAACAAAATTATATTTCAAATAAATGCAGTTCTTTTGAATCCTGAAAAATGTTTTCCATAAAAATATTAAGCAGCACAACGGTTATTAATATTGATAATAATTAGAAATGTGTCTTGAGCAGCAAATCAGCATATTAGAATGACTTCTGAAGGATCATGTGACACTGAAGGATAGATAGATCGATAGATAGATAGTGTAGCATCTGCTTAAAATCATGGATGATCATTGGGGTTTTATGTCTTAGAGACCCCTTTTAACCTTTTGACATTTGCATATAAATTACAAACATGGCCCCACATTCTACATTTATATGGGTGCTAAATTGCCAATGGTTCCCCCCACTATCAAGGAGATGCTAAACAGTTTCACCACTCTCGTCTCCCCATCGAACTTCAAACACATTACAAAAGAGACGTAAATGACCCCGGGGCCAGGCACCAACGGCCTGGCTGACCAGCAAACTACA